GTGCTGGCAACAAGGGGGAGAGAGATGGGGAGGGGGAAATTAATTTCAGAAATGAGAATATTACTTACTTCGGTGATACTCTTTTAGATTTGCTAGCCAGGAGCAAAATGAAAGGGGAACAGCGGCCTCTCTGAATCTACACCTGGCGGGATTGGAGATTTATAGGATCTTTAGCAAAGGGGCAATTTAATTTTGTAGGATTTGCTTAAATTCACTGCTATTTTGGGGGGCTGAGGAGAGAGGAGGGTGGGGGGAGAATGACATGCTTTATCTAGCTTTATGAATCCACCAACATTACCCTGATTTAAAACCCAACAACCTGTGTCTCAGAGAAACTCCTGCAGAAAGGAGTGGGGGAGTGGGGTGAGAGGAGGTGGGCTCAACTTCCTCAACGACTGTGGCCCCCTCAACCAAGCAGTTACCAGGGGGAAGGAAGAAAAGATGAGGCCAGGGGAGGGCTGTTTGTAAGTGTCTCCACCACAGGGACACCGGAGGTTTATGGTGTCCCCATAATTCCCCTGACCCTATAAACAGCTGCCCTATTTTAAGACGATTTCTGCTTCCTCCCCTCCGAAAGGGAGAATGAGGGCCCTCGGAAGGGCAGGAGGGGGTTGCTTGAGAGAGGAGGGAGTCGAGGATAGCACGTACTTTGTTCTCCTGGGCCAGTTTGCTGGTTTGGCGGGTTTCTGACGCAGGGTGGCAGCAGACAAAACAAGTAAACAACTCATAGACACAATAAACAGGAGCGGCTGCGGCGCCGTGGCAGAGGCCGTGGGCTGGGTGAGGGGCACGGTCCTGGGGGATTGTCACCCAGCGCCCCGGATGGCCGAGGCTCAGAAAGACTGAGGTAGCCCTCAGTGAAGGGCGGAAGGAAGGTGGGAGAAGGTTGTGCACCTCCCGGCGCAGCATGTCTGGACAGGAGTCTGGGGAGGAACCTGATCGTCCAGGGAGCAGTGAAAACCGCTCCAGCCCCACTGCTGTCCTTGCTGTCTTTTATGGGGGTTTCCACTGACATTTACATTTCCCCTCTGTTCTGTCTTTTCGTGCCTCTGGAAGGGAGGAAGCCTGGGAAAGGAGACCGATTAATTCCCAGCGCTCCAGGTCCACAGGCAGCGGCCCAACCTCCTCTCCTGTACCTTTGGACCAGCCTTCTCTCGGACCCAGAGTGGACCCCGCTCAGGCAGCGGAGGGGATTAAAGCGCAGCTCAACCAGCAACCAGGTAGCAAGCTCCCAATTTGTCCGCACAGATGCAGGCAAGTCTGGGACAGGGTGAGCATCCAGGACAAGGAGGGGAGGGACACACATTCACCACATCCCTGCCCCTTCTGGCTCACCTCCACCAGCCACTCAGGCACCCTGGCCAGCAGCCACCCCAGACCACTCTGCCCGAGGCCACCTTATTAACCACTCCAATACCATCATTGCCCTAGGGAGGGTCCTAGCACCCGGGCCCTGCTCTCAGAGCAACCACACCCATGAAAAGAGTCCCGCAGAACTCACTTTCAAGACAGCTAGATTCCCCTTGTAAAACAGTCTCTAAGTTGGGAAAGTTTGTGGGGAGTGTGGGGATAAAGCCGAAGGGATTTAGTGTTTCCCCAGTCCAGCTGCTTGGACAGCGAAAGCAATTCAGCCTGAGAAAGCCTGTGCGGCATCCATTGCTTGCTAGAACCCGCATACTCCGATTCCAGTGCATACACATTTCCAGCAGAGCTTGCACAGAGGGTCCCTTTGGTGCACCCGTGCCTCCATGAGCCCACTCTCGTCTAGAAGAGGCTAACAGAATTTTGCACGCACATAAAACGGTGTTTGAGCGAATATAGGCATGGCAACATACAATTAACCACTAAGGAAATATGAGTCTGTATATATTCATGCATAAGTCTGTCTGTACATTTGAGCCTGTGTATAATAAATGCATAACGCTACCAAGCCCAGTTTCACAACACGTCAGCCAACCCAACAAGGTCGCCTTCACCAAACAAGGTCGCGTTCTCCGTGGGGATCACAATTGTCAAGCCAGGGAGAAAGAAGGTTTACTCTGCTCATTTCTCCTTAGCTAGGAACCGGCGCATGAAATACAGTGGATGGCAGGGATGACAAAGTTCTCCCCCCAACTGTAAGGAGCCAGCCTGAGAGTGCCCAAAGAATGGGTTCAGAGGGGAACACTGCCCCCCTCCCCCAGTGCCAGGGAACCTTGCCAGGCCCTGACCCACAGATTCAGTGTCTTTGCTCAGCCTCAGTCCGGGTGTGCAGAGTCCTTGAGCCAGATTCTGTTCTCAACCACCCTGGCTATTATTAGATAACCACAGAAGAGTTCTCTTGCAGTAAGGACCATGTCTACAGGGAATTCTGCCTGCAAGGAGACTGAGGGTTACCATGGGTGTCCCCTCTTGTGCTTCTGTGTGAACGCCGAAGAGAGAAAGAAGAAAAAGAAAAGCGAAAGTAACTGGGAAACAGAGGGCTGGCCTTGGTGTCCGTTGGGTCCAGCTTATCCCTGGCTGGACCGGAAAACTGGAAAACCAGGGCCAGTCACTGCTCCACTTCTTCCCTCTGTCTCATGAGGACAGGTCTAGGGGTGAAGGGCATAGGGTAAGGTGGGGGCTTGCAGGAACTCTAGCCAGGAAAGAACAGAAAATCAATAAAAATATTATCTAAAGACACCTCAGGATAGTGCTGTTAAGCGGTCAACCTCGAACCCTAGCACCCCAAAATCTCGCTGTCAGCACATTTAATTAGAACCCTGTAGGCCTAGAGAAATGCCCCAGCCTCGCCCAGGCCCGCCCCTCGGGTGGGAGGGGGCCCCCCCTACTGTTCCAGGTGAAGCTCCACTGGCCTGAGTGGCCTTCTCCAGAAAAGGTTTTCTTTCCGGGGTGAACAAAGGAGATTTGTGTCCCCACCCCCCATCAGTGCGGCCATCCGCAAGGGCGGGGGCTGACAAAATACAGGCGAAAGAGAGAAATAGAGGCCTCACCGGTTGGCGGTTCCCACATGAAGGCCAGGAGAAAGGCTCCCGTTTTCGGGCCTCGCGGGCCCCTCCACTGTCCCACCGCGCTTCCGTTGCCCGTCTCGGGTCCCACAACTCCGGGTCCCGGCCTGCCGCAGCCCGGTTCCGCGGGGCGTCGGCCCCCGGGCCGTGGCTGAGCGGCGGGCGAGCGCGCGGCAGCCGGAGCAGGCGGCGGCAGGGCCCATTTGGGGAGAGCCAAGCGCTTTTCTCGATCGTAAACAAGGAACGCGAAATTAGCCCCTCGGCAGACGCCTCTGCCGACACACAAGTCCTATTGGGGGGGGGAAGGGGGAGAGAAAATGCCATTTCTTTCCCCGGGAGAATACCTCGGAGGCCTTTATGTAGGCTGCGAAAGGGGAATTTTGGGGGGGCTGGAGAGGAAGGGAAAGGGCTTGTGGGGGAGGGGAGATAAGAGTCACCGTCGGCTCGGGCCTGAGGTTTGATTCGAATGCAAAGTGTATTTTTAAGACTATGATAAAAACGGGATTTCCCCCTTTCCGTCCCCCTTCCCCACCCCCAAGCGATGGGTCAGGGTTTAAACAGGAAACCCGGAGCGATCCCCTCCCCCACTCGGGCTAGGCGTAGAATCCCAGCCGCGCCTCTGGGAGAGGATGGGGGTGAGTGTCTTGGCCCGGCTGAAGGTGAGTCTGGCCCCTGGACTCTCTCGGACCTCTCCAGGAGTATGCCCCCTCCTCCCCAGCTCTGGGGTGTGTCTGTGTGTGTAAACGTTTGGGTATGCGTCGCCCTTTATAAACAGAAACTCACACATATAGGGGCCGCCTCGCGGACCCAGGCCCGGGAGCAGGGCGGGGTCATATATCAAACTGCAACACATTCAGGATCACGTACATTTGGAAGAAATTAAGCCACTGTATTATGAAACCATATGTGTCGGGTTAAGACCATACAACACGCCATTAGCACCAATTATTAGAAAAACCCCGAGCGTCCAGGACCCTCCCGGCCGCCCCATTCTGACGCCCCTACCCCATCAGCCATCCCCCTCTAGAGTCCTCACTGCCTCCACAGCACCCAGGAGGCCCTGCCACCGAGGCATGGGCCTGTCCCCGCCCAACCTGGGGCCTTTTCCATTCCCACCTCCGCCCCAGACAAGGCAGGTCTTAGCCTGGAGCAGCCATGCAAGGCGGGTGAAGCAGTCCAGTGGGCATCCCGGGTGGGATGGCGCCGTTGGGGGTGAGGGCGTCGGACCCGAGAAGGGAAGGCGGATAGGCCTCTTTTCTCCGAGCACAAGATGGCTTTTGAGTACCGCATCCCCCACCCTCAACCCTCCACCCTCCACCCAATGCAAGGCACCTCCCACCCTCCCATCCGCCCGGGTGGGGGCGGGAGCAGGGGGTGGACAGACGCTCTCCCCTTGGCTGACGCGCACCAGCCACCAGCCTCCCCCCTAATTGCCAATTAACAGGCCCCGCCGCCCGCCTAGCTGCGCTCGCTTCCTGCTCGGCGGCCCGGCCCGAGGCCCGCACTGCGCATGTGTGAGCTCTCGCAGTCGCGCTCTCTGGGAGGGAGGGGGCTGCAGGGTAGGGAGGGGGCGCGGGAAAGTTTGTTTGAGGGTTGGGGGGCTGACTTTGCTCAGGGGGCAATGGGCACAGCCTACAGCCTTCTCCCTCTTGCCCTGGAATTTGAGCGTCCAGGCCCCCTCCGTCCCGGTCCCATTAACCAAGAGGCCGAAGACCTATCACAAGCAGGTACGAACACAGTGGGCACCAGACCGAGGGCCAGCGCCCCAGACCACCGGCTTGCGCCGCTCAGGCACAGCCCTCCTGCCCCAC